CTCTTAACTTATAACCAAGTATTATGGTGCTTACTGGTCCATTTTGATGCCAGGGCACCTCACAGCTTGCTCATTGGGATCCTGTTTTAGGAGTGCTAGTAAGTAAAGGCAACTGAGAGAACAAATACCCGGGAGTGAATATCATTCAATTAACTCCCAAGTTACAAAAGCATAGAATTAACTGTTTCCCTGTGTCTATACAAAAAAGGACGACTGCCTCGAGCAGGCTCCAGTAACATCTCCTTCATCCTAGCCCTGAGATTTTTTAAAAAGTGCTATATTCAAGGCTCTTTCAGGGTTAGGAGAATGAGATCCATCATTGTTACTGGTATTTGGCATATTGGGTATGCCATGGGGAGTTTGCCAGACTCTGCTGTGTGAGCAGGTTACATTCTGTAGCCTGCCATTTTGTCCAAAGTAAGAATGAGATAATAAGATGCCGTGCAGCTGCACACATGAAGGTACAGGCAGAAAAACAAAGGCACACGGGTCCCGGGGCTGAGATCTCCAAGCCTGCTCGGATCGGGGCTGAGCATCCTCCAGACAGATCCTCCATCTTCCAGTAGGCAGGGGTCACACCCACCAACTGGCCCCCTGGTACTGTGTAATCCCATCAATGGCCAAGACCCAGAGACTACAAAACCCAGCTCCCAGAAGAGAACAGCACAGAGTCTCCTGCTCCCACACCTGGCTGTCCTCGCCAGGGCCCCTTGGAGAGGAGCAGGTTGAGTTTCCCTTCCCGCCCCGACCAGGGCTCCGGCAGCTGAAGACATCCAGAACCAGTCACCACCATGCTGAGACCACTCTCCACACAAAAAAGGACATTACTCTGAATTAACGATGCAACAAATTTAAGAGAAGAGAAAAGCAGTATTTACAAGTTAACAGAGTCTGATTAGGAGATAAAGATGATTTACCAGTTGAGGAAGCAGAGCATAAAGAAAGAGGTTACAAATAAACACAGAAGAATGGGAGCACTGTGATGGGAGTAACCCAATAAACCTAAGCTCCCTCTGGCAAGGCAGAAAGGACAAACCAATGTTATCCTGCACTTCTTCCTTTTTCATAGAGTGACTGTCCATATAGTTGAGGATTCCTGGACTCTCTATCCTTTCCATTGATTTGAGAGTCTGTCCTTGTGGCATCATGCTGTTATCATAACTATTACTTTGTGGTATATTTAAAAATTGGAGAGATAAAGTGTCCCATTTTTTTTCTAGGACTGCTTTGGCTATATGGGGAAGGGAGTCATTATTCCACATAAATCTCAGTAGTTTTTGACCCACATCTTTTTAAAACATCATGAGTATCTTTATAGTGACTGAGTTGACTATATACATGTTTTAGGTAAAATTGTAATTTCAACAATATTATTTCTTCCAATCCATGAACATGGAATGTGTTTAAATTTCCTTCCATCCTCTTACTTCTTTTAATAGGAATTGAACTTCCATATGACCCAGCAATTTCACTTCTTGGTATCAACCCCAAGGATCCAAAAACTCTACTCAGAAAAGACAGTTATAACCCTATTTTCATTGCAGCACTAGTCACAAAAGCCAAAATCTGGAAAGAGCCCAAATGTCCAAGAATAGATAACTGGATACAGAAACTACAGTACATGTACAGGAATACTAGTTGGATATAAGAAAATATAAAATCATTCAATTATTAGCTATTTTGACAGATATGAAGAGTATTATGCTGAGTAAAGTTAGACAGAGGAGAGGGACAGACTCAAAATATCTCTCTCATATGTGAGATATTAAAAAATCTTAGGGGAATGTCAGATAAACAAAGCAAACAGAAACTGATAACTGATTTCCAGTAGAAAGCTCAGCTTAGGGAGAATGGGGAATGGTGGTGTGCGGAAGAAGGAGGGGAAGTGATAATGTTGGAGGAAGTTGAACATTCTGGGGGAGGGTGTGGTGCTGGAATATTTATGTATAAAATCATACCAATAAAAGTACTATAAACTATATTGCTTGAAACAAACTCTAAAAATAAAAAGATTACTTTTAAAAGAATCAAATGTTTAAGCAACATTAAGCATCATCATATCTGTGTCTGGTTCATTTAGGTATGCATGCATGTTTATATATGTATATGTATGTCTATTGGGCTGGAACAATATAGCACAGTAGATAGAGCATTTGCCTTGCATGTGGCCAACCCAGGTTCTATTCCTCTGTCCCTCTTGGAGAGCCTGGCAAGCTACTGAGAGTATCCTGCCCAGACGGCAGATCCTGTCAAGCTCCCTGTGGCATATTCAATATGCTAAAAATAGTATCAACAAGTCTCACAATGGAGTGCTTTGAACAATGGAGATTTTTTGTTACTGTTTTTTTGACTAGTGCCCACTCGAGCAAATCAATGAGCAATGGGAGGACAGTGCTACAGTGCTATGTATGTTTATATATACAGACACACTATGGGTTTATATACATGAGTCATACCTAAAAGATTATTATCAGCTAAGAAATATAGTTAGAACTTGCTTCTATTATATTGGAGTAAAAGGAAGTGAGAGAAAGAAAGTAAAGATCTCTAAGAGCTATAGGTCAGAGCAATACAATTTCTATGCAGTTAAAATTTTTTCTATCCTATTTTTTTTTGGTAGTGGTGGTAGGGAATGAAGGTCCTTCCAAGAAGTGCTCACGGTTTTGAGGTTTATTCCCAGTAACATCCAACCAATCAGACCTGTTGTTCCATGCAAGGGCAAGTACTGATCAGGCCCTATGCAAGGGCAATTTCTGGGGCCACCAAGATATTTTTTGCCTCCAATAGGAAGCTCAGCATAGGAAGAATGGGGGAACGCAGGGGTATGAGGAGGTAGGAGGGGAAGGAATAATGTTGGAGGGACGTCTTAGGGCTCCAGGGCTACCCTGTGATGGTCAGAGGACCATGTGGTGCCAAAGATCAAACCAGGGTCAGTTATTTACAAAACATGCACCCTAAGCTCTGTGTTATCTCCCCAGCCCCAATACTTTATACTGCCAGCTTTTTCCAAAATACGATTTTTATATAGACATTTACATGCTAAAATGATTATAAGAATAAAAAAGTCAGAAATTTTACTTATTTTATTTTCTCATCCAGTGGTACATGGTGATCTGAACAAATACTATTGACAGAAGTATTTTGTTAGAATAAATGTTAAAAATCCAAGGGTTTCTTATGGGTATGTTTAGGTAATTAGAGTCTTTCTCTCTACCCAAGTCACTCTTAAAACATCCCCTAAGTTAAATATACTGACTGCATTAAAGACATGTGTGGGATTCAGAGCTGTGGCATATTTCCTTCCCGAGGGACATCATATTTATAATTATGTCTGTTTCCTCATTAGTTTCATAATTTATTCTCAACTGTACTTTAGCTCTTAAATTTTTAAATTCTATTACTAAAAAAAAGAAAAAATCTTTCTATTATGATTCTCTCTGATGGGAACATCTCTTTGTCAAGATGTAGGAATATGGTAACCTAACACACAATAAAAAAATTCTATGAGTTGTTTTAAACCTATAACCACATGTGATTTTAATGGCATTTCTTTAATAGAATAATTTATTTACTCTTCTCCTGAATATAGGGAAAACCATGTGTATACATATGTATGTGTACATATGTGTGTAAAATTATATATTTTGTATATATGCATAAAACCATTGAGGTAGGTGTGTATGTGTGTGTGTGTGTGTGTGTGTGTGTGTGTGTCCTAATCCTGAAAAGAATTCTTAAATCTCCCTTATTGGTATAAACCACTGATACGCATGGTTTGGTTCAATTACCCCTGTCAGGTTTATTATCTACTCTTTTTCCCTGCTGTTAGCATGTGTAATTGTATGGTTTTAAGAACTTGAATGACTCACCATAAAGCAAGCTGAAAAAATAAGGGACAGATGTGTTTCTATGTATTTTTTGAGGGTTGCTAGGATGGGAACCCTTTAAGCTTATTTCGGAATCTCATCTCAGAGGTAGTTTTTGCCTCCTTAAGCTTACCTCTCTTCCCCAATCCCCAACCCCTCAACCACCAGAAGGAAGGAATGTTCACAGTGTAAATGCCACCCACCAACTTGAATGAGGGAGAAAACAATAATACAATGGCCACCCATCATCAAGAGAAATGATTATTGCAGTCTCCTCCAGTGAGGTTAAATGAAGGGGAACCTTCCTCTGCACACAAGATAAAGCAGAGTGACTCCCTACTTTCTTCAAGTGATGATTATTAAGAGGCAGCCTAACAGATCATTTGTGGTAAGACATCATAAACAGGACTATGACTGTTGATCAGATTTCAAAACTTTGGTCTTGATCCTTCAAATGCATAGAAAAGCCCACCCTGTGGTTAACATAACCAGAAGCAGACAGGAAACAAAAGTTTTAATGAGAGGTCAAACTGACAGCAAGAGAGTTGAACTTTTACAGTTTCAGGTTCAGAAAACTTGTCAACACGGTCAAATTCTCTCTTTAATAGAGCCCAGTGATTTCAAGGTAATCAAAGATGTGGTTTAGAAATGACAGTTGAAAAAGTGTTTTATTTATTTTGAAATGAAAATGTCTTACTCATGATGCTGATTTAGTATGTCACACTTCCAGAGGGATGGGACTCTCAGCTTGAGTGTGCAAAGATATCTCATTCGCCTGCATCAATTTGGTATCCTTTTGTGATTCTCCACTTTTACTTTCACTATTAGTAAAAAGAAAAGAACAAGATCTGGTATTCTTTGTGTCACAATTCAGTGCTAATTTAGACAATATTAAGCCAAATAATGAAATCAGACTCCTACAAAGGAGTATTGCTCCACCTGTCAACAGGGAAACAGCAAAAGAAACTGGATCTGGCCTCTGCCTTCTGTAACACATAATATGTCCCTGGATAGATATAAAACCCACACCTACTGAAAATATAGGAGCATGTGACACATACTAAATGTGGTGAAACCTTCTAAGGTGGGACTGAGTAATGCAAAGGGAATGAGAGGGGAAGAGGAGAAGGAGGTATGTTGTATGAAAGGAGAGAAAGTTAGCACTCCCCTCACAAGGATGGAAGAGGCTTTGCCTTCAACACATATACATATGATTAAGGCACTGCCACCTACTTCATCACATCTAACCAACATTTTAATACTCCAAGATACAGACTAATCAAAATGACAAAAAAAAATAGAGAATACTGAAAGCAGCAAGATCAAAGAAGGAAATTACATACAAAGGTGCATCCTTTGTATGTAATTTACATCAGACTTATCGGACAAAACCCTATAGGCCTAAAGACAGTGGTGGGATAAAATGAAAGACCTCAGTGAAACAAATGCCTCACCAGGAACACTTAACTCAGCCAGACTCACATTCAGATCTGAAGGAACCATACACAACTTCACAGATAAACAACTCAGGAACTTCTCGGACTCAAGAAGAACTAAATTGGCTACTTTAAAATAAGACAAGCCCCACAAACACATCAAACACTTGCAGAAAAATGGCAGAAAACCCCATAATAATAATCTCTCTCAAAATCAAAGGGCCAAATTCACCAATTAAGAGACACAGAGTGGCAGGATGGATTAGAAAAGATCCCAACAATGCTTCCTGCAAGAAGCACATTTGAACAGCCAAAGCAAACACAGACTCAAAGTTAAAGGTGGAAAACAGTTCTTCAAGCCAATAACCCCTCATAAAAGCCAGGTTGACCATAATGAGCATCAGAGAATGTACACTTCAGGCTGAAGAAGGTCATAAGAGACAATGAAGGCCATTTTTTAATGATCAACTTATCTGTACATCAGGAAGAATTCGCACTCCTAAACACATGTAACCTAATGAGGGACCAACAAAATACTTGAAACAACTAATAGACTTGAAAAAAAGACACTAATAGCAACACAATTGTAGTTAGATATTTCAACACTACTTTGTCAACCCTTGATAGATCAACTAGACTAAAGCTCAGCAAAGAAATACTTTATTTATTTGAGGAAAGAAATGGAGGAGAGGGAGTTAGTGTGTGTGTGTGTGTGTGTGTGTGTGTGTGTCTGTGTGTGTCTGTGTGTATTCTATATATGTATATGTCACTCTCACTGTCCTCCATTGTTCATTGATTTGTTCGAGCAGGCCCAGTAATGTCTCCATTGTAACAATTGTTACTGTGTTTGGCATCTTGAATACGTCACAGGGAGCTTGCCAGGCTTTGCCGTGCAGGCGAGATACTCTCGGTAGCTTGCCGGGCTCTCCAAGAGGGGCGGAGGAATTGAACTCGGGTGAGACATGTTGGCCACTTGCAAGGCAAATGCCCTACCCGCTATGCTATCACTCCAGTCCCTATATATGTATAATATATGTATATATACATATATTAGAAGGTGTGGTCTTCTTTATAGAACTTCTACAGCTCCATGTAGAACTTCTAAATTTCTCCTTCATAATAATTAGATGGTGCTGCATAAAAAATGTAGATAGAAACTGCCAGCAGTGAGCCACAACTATTTAAGTATAATCGTCCGATTCAAGTTGTTAGGCATTCAAATGAATCAATGCTTATGGCCAAGTTTGTGTTGACAAGGACACCAACACCACCAATGCCTCTTTTGTTACATGTTCCGAGGAACAGTTCTTCTCCAGTGTCGAAAATGGCATGATGTGATTGATGCCTTTTTGTCTCAGTCAGACCAATGATGTCATACTTGATCTTTTGCTCTTGTACCATCAGATCCTCGATGGATGCATCTGATGCTAGTGTATGTGCATTGAAAGTACAGACAGTCATTTTTGTCTTTCTTTGTTTTGGCAGCCTAGTTCGGCCTTGAGATTTTATCAGCCTCTCCTCTCTCATCCTTCTTCTTCTTTTTTTTTTTTTGCTTTTTGGGTCACACCTGGCGATGCACAGGGGTTACTCCTGGCTCTGCACTCAGGAGTTACTCCTGGCGGTGCTCAGGGGACCATATGGGATGCTGGGAATTGAACCCAGGTCAGCCGCGTGCAAGGCAAACACCCTACCCGCTGTGCTATCTCTCTAGCCCCTCTCATCCTTCTTAATGCTACCATATTGGTAGCTCTTTCAGGGTCAGGGGAATGAGACCCATTGTAATTACTGGTTTTGGCATATTGAATATACCACGAATAGCTTCCCAGGCTCATTCATGCGGGCAGGATACTCTTGGTAGCTTGCCGTGCTCTCCAAGAGGGATAGAAGCTTTTAGGGCAGCCTCTAATCGCCCTTGCAAGTGTTCTCATGGTTTAAACCATATTTGAACCCTATCAAATATAGTGCTGCAAACATGCAAGATGGGTATTAAGTGTCTTATGATGTGTCATGCAGCTGCAAAGTGGCCACGTGGTCTGGAAAGCATCCTGGAGTATGGCGGTGGCTGGGTAGTGGAGGTAATGGAGGTAGTGGAGGCCTGCCAGTGAGGTATTTATCTGGTGCCAGTAGGGTGGGTCTTCTGTGTGAAATCCCTGAGTCGTGGTTGGTGGAAGCAGACAGGGCAAGGATAGGGTGGGGCTCCTGATTTTAATCCCTTGGTCACCTGAGGTTGGTAGGAGCAGGCAGAGGATCTCTGTTCGCGGATCCATTGAGCCTGGAATCCAAGGTCTCCAAGTACTGCTTGCCTGGTTCTGTAGGGCTTCACTCTTACGTGATTCTCGGCCTGAGGGTCCAGAAAGCGTCCTGGAGCATGGCGGCAGCTGGGTAGTGGAGGTAGACCACACCTTCTTCAAGATCATTGTTCGTGATTTTAATGCCAAGATAGAACAGAGAAGATCAGCTGAAGAACTCCACATCAGGATGCATGGCCTAGAATGGAATGAATAGGGTGAGAGACTGTCTGAGTTCATCATGTCAACCAAGACCATCCAGGGTAACTCACAGTTACAGAAGGCTGAATCTAAATGTTGGACTTGGTAGTCTCCTTGTGCATGGTTCCACAATGAAATTGACCACATCATATTTAATTGATGGTTTTACTTGACCAATGTCACTGTTGTCCTCAAATTCCAAACAGGATCGGACCACCATCTCCTTCATGTAAAATTCTACTTCACGAAGTGGGGAGAAAGGCTGCAAAGTTTAAGAAGAGAACTCCCAGAACGACCACCAACTGGGAGCTCTCTGGCACTATTGCGGCAACATGGGAAGATGCTGTCATTGACAACATTGACGAGGAATATGATAGACTGGTTCAGCACCTCCATGATTGTGTGAAGAATGCCAAGAGAGAGATAGACACAAAAAGATGCCTGTCTTTGAAAACTCTTGAGCTTATTCACCAATGTGGCTTGGCTCAAGCCTCAGGCAACCACAAGCGAATGTCCAAGCTCGCAAAGCAGTGCAGAGAAGCGATTAAGGAAGACCTCAAAGAGAGAAGAGCAGCAGTGCTGGCAGATGTGGCAGAAGCCAGGAAAAGCATTCGCAATGCCCGCCTGTTCTTCGCCAACTACACGACCAAGATGACAGTCCTCCGATGTCCTGATGGATCTATGACATCTTTCAGAAGGGCAATGGAGAAGATTATTCATGACTTCTACTCGTATCTCTTCGATAACCACATCCACGTGCCCACATACCAAATTCTGCAGGATGAATATGTCATTCCCAGTGTTCTCCCTTCTGAAATCCAACATGCCGTTTCGTCTGTAAAGAAGCAAATAGCACCAGACCCAGACAAGGTCAGACCCAAACAGCTGAAAAATTTGCTCTCAGTACTCATCAATATACTGGCTCAGCTCTTCACACGCTACCTGTCTGAATGCAAGGTTCTGTCCCAGTGGAAAACCAGCAGGACTGTACTACTGTACAAGAAGCAAGACATCTATGACATTGGCAACTATTGCTGGATCTGCCTATTGTCTGTCATCTACAAGCTGTTTACTCAAGTCATCCTGAATAGGATTGGCAGGACACTAGATCAAGGACAACCATGCAAGCAAGCTGGGTTCTGCAAAGGATTCAGCATGATTGACCATAGCCATACAATAACCAAGCTCATTGAGGTTTCTCAGGAGTTCAAGATGTTGCTTTGTCTAATTTTCATTGGTTTAAAGAAAGTCTTAGATTCTGTTGAGACGGAAGCAGTCATCAAAGCCTTAGTCAAACAGGGCATTCAAACTCAATACATGAGGATCCTTCATGAGCTGTATTAATGATTCACTACCAGGATCACACCATTCTACAGAGAAGTGATCATTGGCATCAAGTGAGGGGTTCGGCAGGGCGATACCATTTCACCGAAACTCTTCAGTGTCACCCTCAAGAACGTCATGCAATGACTAGAATGGGAAGGAATGGGAGTGAAGATAGGCGGTCAGCAACTACACCACCTCCACTTTTCTGATGACATTGTTCTAATAACACCAAACAGCCAAGCGGCACGAATGCTGGCCGACTTCAACCATGAGTGTGGAAAGGTTAGACTCTAGCTGAATCTCATGAAGACAATGTTTATGAGAAACAGTCTCATTCCTGACATTCCATTCACTCTTAATGGAACGACCATCTCCGAATGCAACAGTTATGTGTACCTTGGTCGAGAAGTCAACATGACAAATGACCTAGCATCTGAGTTGCACAGGAGGAAGAGAGCAGCTTGGAACACCTTCAAGAATGTCGAAGAAATAGCTAAGAGGATGAAGAACCTGTGACTCCAGGCACATCTCTTTGATCCCACTGTTCTTCCTGCATTAACCTAAGCCTCAGAGACCTGGGCCCTACTAAAACAGAATGAGAATGCTATTCAGATCTCCCAAAGAGGAATCAAAAGAGCTATTCTTAAAGTAACCCGCTTCACTTAAATGAGAGAAAGAATCCAGAATTCTCACCTCCATCAACGATCAAGAATCAGGGACGCTGTCTCATTTGCCATTTGAAAATCAGATGGGCTGGACACGTAATGAGATTTGGAGATGACTGCTGGACTAGAGCCATTACTGACTGGATTCCATGGGATGTCAAAATAGCGCATGGCCACCCACCTACGAGATGGTCAGGCTTCTTCGTTAAGACCCTGAATGATTGGTTTGAAGCTCTTCATGTTCTTAGAAGAGCAGACGCCATTGGGCTACACTATCACGCGACAGGGACTAATGGAGACGCTACTGGTGCCCGCTCAAGCAAATCAATGAGTAATGGGATGT